TATACTTTCCAGCAAAATTAATTTAATTACGTCATTATACCTGACGTAATAAGCTGTAATAATTACGGTTTTAAATTTTAAAATGCTGATATGCCGTAATTAAATTAACCTGTCAAATTAATTACGGCAGTAAAATTTAAATTATATTAAAATAGGAAATAGATCAACTAATAAACACATGATTTAACATGAGTATATTAAATAAACATAGTATATAATCATGTGTTATATTTCTTAAATTTTTTTAAAAATATTTCTTTGTCTTAAAAAATGCCAAATTCAAAACATTTTCTAACGTATGTACCAATTAAACATTCTGATATAAAATAATCCATTTTTTTATATATATTTTATACACTAATTATAATATCTACTCAAGAAGCAAATGGTGAAAGTTCAAGTGGCGTATTATTAAACACAAATAAAGAAAAAGAAAAAGCAGGAAGAAAAAGAGGACATGTTTGGATTCATTTTAATGATATTGGTACTAAAAAAGAAGGTCATATTGGTTGTATATGCATATATTGTGGCTGGACTCAAAACTGAGAAGAACCAGCCCAAATGCAAGCACATTTAGCTTTATCCTGTTCAAAAGTTCCTTCTACAATTAAAATAGAATATTTACTTCTTATTAAACAAAATGCTGAAGAATGAGTTACTAACTCTACTTTAACTGTCTCAAAAAAAAGATGTGTTAATTTATCTCAAACAAGAATAGATAAATTTTATGAATCTGATCAGATTGATAATACCAAACAAGTATTATGTGATAAAGCTGTTGCAAAATTCTTTATTTGTTGTGGTGTGGCATTTTATTTAATTTCTCATCCTTTTTTTATTGATATGGTTAAAAGTTTATGTAATGGATATGAGTTATCGTGTTCTACTACTTTATCCAATACACTTATGTATAATAAACTTACTAAAATAACTGTTGATCAGCAACTTACGTTAGATAAAGAATCAGATTTAACATTAGGTAAAAAAATAAATTTTATTTTTAGATTTTTTAATTATTTAATAAAATTTTGAATTTTTTAGGATTTGATGGCTGGACGAGCCTACAAGGTCAATCATTATATGTTTTTATACTTATTACACATGAACAAAAGGAAATTATACATAGTTTAAAAAATCTATCATCAGAATCTCATACAGCAAAATTTTTAGCTGAAAAAATTAATGAAGTAATTACAAATATTGGGCCTGAAAAATTTTCTGCAGTTGTTTCTGATCATGCTGCTGCTTGTGCATCTGCTAAACGAATCATTGCTGATACACATAAACATATTATTCCAATTAGATGTATTGCGCATCACATTAATCTCATTACAACTGATATTTGTAAAACTTCATTTGCCAAAGAGGTTATTGCGAAGTGTACAAAGTTAGTAAAATTTTTTAAAACATCACATCAAGCTGGTGAAAAGCTTAAAATGAGTATAATTGATGATTCAGTTAAAGGTGGAAATCTCAAAACTTATGTCAAAACTAGATGGACAACA